TAGTTATATTGCACCTCAATTTATTTATGCAGTATTTATTATAAATAATATATTTGTAATTATAATTTATATATTAAAACAATTTGTTTTAAATATCAAACATGTTACATAATCAAATCTATTGTTTCTTTCATGATTGACATTTTATTTTTATTGAATTCCTATTTTTGGAATAAAGACATAGAACTTTTTTATTTACATTTTTATGTTTTACTCATATTTTAGTCTTTTTTTCTAAGCTCTTTTGACTTACAATTTTTTTCTATAAAAATTTAAAAAATGAGCAATTTTAAGTAATAAAGGGAAAACTGAGATGTCTTATAAAAAGTTATATTAATAAAACATTCAATATAACTATTTTATCCATAATTTTTTAGTATAATTTAACATATTGATGTTTTCCTGTTTTATTATGTAGACTAATATACAAAAAAATGTGTTATTCATATTAAAAAATTGAAGAGAAAAATAATAAGTGTGAATCGTAAAAATAGTGAGATGAAAAATAATAATTTGTAAACTATAGTTATGAATATAACAGTTGTAATAATAATAATTATTATAATAATCACATTGAAATATATCATTTCTAGAGTAATTGGTTGAGGAGTAGAAAGAGTTTGAAGAAAATGAGAAAAGTTGGAAGAAACTGGAAGGAATTAGAAGAAACTAGAAGAAACTAAAAGAAACTAGAAGAAAATAGAAGAAACTGGAAGAACTGGAAGAAATTGGAAAAAACAGAAAAGAATGGGAAGAAACAGGAAGTTAAGAGTTCAGACTCTAAAGAATAGACTCTGAGTGAGATTTGTCAATGATACTTCAAGAATTTGATGTTCAAATGATAATCTTTTTTTTCTTGTTGAAGGAATTTGAATTGAGATAACTCGTTGTGAGGCTGCGAGATTGCTCTTTCGACCAGCTCAGCTTCACCCCGGAACAAAACTTTAATTTTACGTGTGGTGATGGGATTGTTTCAAAATATTATTCAATCTTTTTTTGTGTCAACTTTTTTGAGCTAAACACATGATAAACACATTTTTATTTTTGTAAT